GTCCCTTCCTCCCACCCTTCCCCTCCTCCCACCTCCATCTCCTACCTACTAACCTCATCCCGTCCCCTTGACCTGTCCGTCCTCCCTGGACTGACCTATCCCCTCCCTAACTCCCCACCTACACTCACCTTTACTGGCTCCATCCTCGCATCTTTGACCTGTCTGTCTCCTCTCCACCTATCTTCTCCTCTATCCATCTTCTATCCGCCTCCCCCTCTCTCCCTATTTATTTCAGAACCCCCTTCCCCTCCCCAATTTCTGAAGAAGGGTCTAGGCCCGAAACGTCAGCCTTCCTGCTCCTCTGATACTGCTTGGCCTGCTGTGTTCATCCAGCTCTATACTTTGTTATCTCAGATTCTCCAGCATCTGCAGTTCCTACTATCTCTGGCCTAGAATACTGGTAGTTTCTGATTTGTTTTCTTCATAAAAGAAATCCCATTGCCTAAATTTCCATCCAGATATTGCATCCTCATATAACTGTAGTCATTTATTACAGATCAAACACTTAGGGCTGAATCTTACTTTTTTGTCTTAAGTGCAAGCTTCATCAAGTTTTTTTGCAGGGTTTTTGCAGTGAGGCCTAGTGGGTTTTCTTGCCACATCTTATCAAACTCTTCACAGTAACTACATACCCTACCCCTATGGGGTCCCTTTCGTCCAATTCCAACTCTATCTTGACACACCATATTCCCAGAACACCTTTCCACTCACCAGATATCCAGGAATTGGCTAGCATCACTGGTGTTTGCTCCATCTTTAAAAATCTATTATTTACCCAGACAAGCACTGTCACTGTGATGCTGCCCTGCATGGTTCCTGATGTTTTTGCCAGACATGAAAGATAGACCTCAAACTCCCCCACTCAGAGTACATGCTATGTCCTTGCCACCCTCAGTATTTCCTTTACTTCACCTGATGAAGGAACAGCGCTCCGAAAACTTGCGATGTTAAATAAACCTGTTGGACTATAACCTGATGTCATGTGACTTCTGACTTCCTCAAGCGGTGTGCAACATGAAGAAATACTGTGTCATCAGCTGGGTAGGCCAGTATATGTTAATCAATGGGATTGTCCATTTTTGACCTAAGGTCATAAGACCTTGTGGTGTCTGGAGTCAATGCTGAGGACTCGCAGGCTAATTCTCTTCTGATTATATATCTCTGCTCAGTCAATCGTAACGATGCAAAAGGACATACCCAGGGGCGGCATCTGGCACATTGTAAGGTATGATTTCATGAATATGTCTTGCTGTTGCCTGCCTAATCTGTTAGACAGGTCTCTCGTTTTTGGCATCAGTCTCAAGAGGTTTGTAAGAAGGACTTTAATGGTCAACAGGGCTGAGTCAGTACTTAATGTCGACACAAGGTTATTCAACTGGTTTCATTCCTTGGAACCTTTTTTTAGCATTTTCCCAGGGTGACATGGGGATAAGCCTTTATATAAAATTAGTGAACAAATTTAATAGATATTGCCAGATAGTATGGTGGGTACTGATTCAAAACTGAAGTTGATAAACACCTGAAAGAAGAATGGTACGAGGATGCGGGGAAAATAGGAATGACTGGGTTGTTCTTCACAACAGCCAGCATAGACTTCTTTTGCGCTGTACTGTTTTATGGTTAGAACTGTTATGCATTTCTAATGCCATTCTTAGGAGATCACATTTATTTTTTCATTCGGGAATGGTGTATGGTATGATGTCTGGTGAAGAAGAAGTAAAAACTGAAAGAGACTGAAAATTGATGGATTGTAACTCAATAATATCCAAATTTGCTAATCATCCTTGTTTTGCATTTGTCCCACAGGATTCTACAAAACAGAAGCAGGAACAGAAGAAAACTGTATCATTCAGTAGCATACCTTCAGAAAGAAAAATTAACAATGCCAGTGATTGTATCAGTTTCATGCAAGCTGGCTGTGAGCTGAAGAAAATACGTTCAAATACTCGAATCTATAATCGCTTTTTTACTTTAGACCTTGACCTTCAGGCTTTGCATTGGGAACCTTCCAAGAAAGATCCTGAAAAGGCTAAACTTGAAATTTCTTCTCTTAAAGAGATCCGAGTTGGAAAAAACACAGAGACTTTCAGAAGTTGTGCAGTTGTGGATCAGATTTGTGAAGACTGTTCCTTCTCCTTAATATATGGAGAAAACTATGAGTCTTTGGATTTGGTAGCCAGTTCTGCAGATGTTGCTAATATCTGGGTTACAGGTCTCCGTTACGTCACTTCACATAACAAGCAAATTTTGAATTTGATAGACGGGAACCAAAATACACTAAGAACCACATGGCTCCATTCAGTGTTCGACCAAAATATTCTGGGTGGTAATGGAATTATGTTGGAAGATGAAGCTGTGAAGTTGATAATGCAACTCAGTCAAGGTTTGAAAGAATCAAAAGTCAGAATTAAGTTTAGAGAGTTCCAAACTGATAAAGGGAAACTAGCCAGCTGGGTAACAAAGGAGGAGTTTACTGACATTTACTATGATCTTTGCACTAGGCCTGAGGTGTATTTCTTGCTTGTGCAAATTTCTAGGAATAAAGAGTTTTTGGATGCCAAAGACTTGATGTTTTTTTTAGAAACTGAACAAGGAATGATAAATGCAACTGAAGAAATGTGCCTTGATCTTATACGGAGGTATGAGCCTTCAAAGCAAGGCCAGCTGAATGGTAATCTCAGTATTGATGGCTTTACTCGGTACCTGATATCACCAGAATGCAATATATTTGATCCAGAGCACAATAAAGTCTGTCAAGATATGACTCAGCCTCTATCCCATTACTATATCAATGCATCTCACAACACCTATATTACAGAAAACACCAGTAGAAGTCCTTCTGATCTGCTTGGATATGTTAGGGCCTTAAAGTTGGGCTGCAGAAGTATTGAACTTGATGTGTATGATGGTCCAAATGAGCCAGTTGTCAGTAAACGCAACAATGTGACCTCACCAATCAGCTTCAATAATGTCATTAAAGTAGTTAATCAGTATGCCTTTGTAGCTTCAGAGTACCCTTTGATTATGTGTTTGCGAAATCACTGCTCAGTAGGGCAACAAAAAATCATGGCACAAAAACTGAAAATGATCCTTGGAAATAAAATATTTACAGAACCACCAAATTCAACACAAAGCTACCTCCCATCACCTGAGAAGTTGAAGAGGAAAATTATCTTGAAGGGAAAGAAGTTGCCACAAAACATTGACTTGTCCGAAGGTGATGTGACAGATGAAGATGAAGAAACAGAAGGTTCCCGAAGTTTAACAGATACTTTTTTTGTTAGTAAGCGGACTATTCGTCTTTGTAGGGAGCTGTCTGATTTGGTTACTCTATGTAAAACTGTACAATTCAGCAGTTTTCATAATTCAATGGAGAAGCAGAAATACTGGGAAATGTGCAATTTCAGTGAACCTGAAGCACGTACGTTGGCAAATGAATATCCAGATGACTTTGTGAACTACAATAAGAGATTTCTGTCACGAGTGTATCCTAGCCATTTGGGTTTAGAGTCCAGCAATTTGAATCCACAGGAATTCTGGAATTGTGGCTGCCAACTTGTAACCATCAACTATCAGACCCCTGGTCCAATGTTGGATCTTAATATCGGTTGGTTTCGACAGAATGGGTGTTGTGGATACGTCCTACGGCCTGCAGTTATGCGTGATGAGGTGTCCTATTTCAATGCGTACCTTAAAGGAATAGTTCCAGGATCCTTACCTCAGGTTCTACATATAAAAGTTATTAGTGGTCAGATGTTTCCAAAGCCTAGAGGTTCTGGTACAAAAGGAGATGTCATCGATCCATATGTGTATGTAGAAATTCGTGGCATTCCTGCAGATTGTGCAGAAGTGAGGACGAAGACTGTTCACCTGAATGGAGAGAATCCTATTTTTGATGAAAGTTTTGAATTTGAAATCAACCTGCCTGAGCTTGTAACAGTTCGATTTGTTGCTTTAGATGACGACTACATTGGGGATGAATTTATTGGCCAGTACACTATCCCATATGAGTGTTTACAGTCTGGTTATCGACATATTCCTTTACATTCATTCACTGGGGAAGAAATTGAACTCGCTACGCTTTTTGTTCACATTGCAATAACAGACCGAAGAGGTGGTGGAAAGGCTCACAAGCGTGGATATTCTGTCAGAAAAGGGAAGAACACAATAAAATACACAATGCTAAGGAATACTGGGATCAAGGTTATTGATGATACGTTCAAAATTGCAGGCCAACCATTACGAGAAGCTGCAGATATCAGAGAAAATGTGCAGGTAATGAAATTATTGGAGATAAAATATAATATAACGTTTAGAATTATAACCAGATTAGGTTGCACTAAACAACTGGCCTGTTCAACACAAATATTTAGAACAAGTACCTAACTGGATTTGCTAAACTTGAAAGGTGCAAAATAGCACCAACGCGTTCATTGCCCTGTTCTTTCAAATACCTTAGTCTTTGGAATTTTTGTAAACAGTGTTGTATGAATAAGTATCTTGTGGCAACCCTCCACTGCCACTGCCTATTTCAATCTGTATCTGTAATTTTCTATAACCCTGTAGCCATCTGAATTCGCTGCATTCCTCCAATCCTTCAGCTACTTCCACGCAAACAAAGATGCTCAAATAATTTAACTCTTCATCATATTGCTTTATATGATATCACATGTTGTTTAATAATGCTGGTGTGTATCATTTGGAGATATTTTACTACATTGAATAACCGGCACGGTGGCTCAGTGGTTAGCACTGCTGCCTCACAGCGCCAGGAATGGAGGATTGAATTCACCCTCCGGCGTAGGAGTTTGCACATTCTCCCCATGTCTGCGTGGATTTCCTCCAGGTGCTCCGGTTTCCTCCCAAACTCCAAAGATGTGCAGATTAGATGGATTCGCTATGGCAAATTGCCCATAGTGTCCAGGGATGTGCAGGCTAAGTGGATTAGCCATGGGGAATGCAGGGTTACAAGGATAGGATGGGATGGGATGGGATGCTCTTCGGAGGGTCGGTAGGGACTCGGTAGGCTGAATAGCCTGCTTCCACACTGTAGGGATTCTGTGAATGCACCATATAACTGTAAGTGCTTTCTTGCTGTTTATGCAAGCGCTTACTGCATGCAATCTGGCTGCCATGTGTTTCAGATTATAACTGTGATAACACTTTAAAAAATTTAATTTGCTACATTGCCATTTTAGACAACTTGAACTTGTGAAAAGGGCTAGATAATTCTTTTTTTTAACCAGTTTACTGTCGCTCTATTTTTCCTACCATAGTGAACAGATCCAAATTTTTGAATGCAGATTTTGTGTGAATTATCTTGTAGCAGAAGATGTCAAGGAGCTGCATTTCTTGTCCTTATGCATTGATGCTTATTTGTAATGAGGTGTGATAAGGAGAGTTTCAGAAACCACGTGTGTAAATACATTGCTAATGTTTGGATACCTGCACTTTTGCATGTTTTAACCCTATTTCCTTGAGCTGAAATATCGGAAAAGCTAAAGCCGTTGTTTTTAGATTCCTTGCAACAAAGTCCATTCCATAGCCACTTTCTTCATTCTTCTTCCTGACAATGGTCCAAGACTGAACAAGACAGTTTGTATCCTTGGCATCATATAAAACTACGAGATTAACTTCTAAGCATGTATCTGTTCTATTGCTAACAGCATCTATTTTCAACTCTGTGATATCAGCAAATCCCCCCCCCGTCTCAATTCATGTGCTATTGAAATTGTTATCCATGTCCTTGTTACCTCTAGACCTGATTATCTCTGTGCACTCCTAGCTAGCTTCTTACATGTTACTCTTTGTAAACTTGAGGTATTTAAGCTCTGCTGCTTATGTTCTAAATTGCACAATGTCCTCTTCCCTTGTGCTTCTTTATGCAGATGGATCCTAATTCAGCAGCGTTTACATTCTCTAATTCTTATTCTTATTTTTAGATCTCTTAAAGGTCTTTCCCTTCTTATCTCAGTAATTTCCTCCAGTCTTACATTCCTGTAAGAAGTCTGTGCTGATATAATTCTGGCTTCTTGAACATTCCTGATTTTATCTGCTTCACCATTGTTAATTGTGCTTGCAGCTGCCAAGACCCTAGTCTCTGAAATTCATTCCTGCAACTTCCTTGCCTCTGTACTTTGTTTCTTATTTCAGAAAACTCCTTTAAGCTTGTTTCTTTGATCAAACATTTGATTATCTGTATTAATATCTCCTTATATGATTTAGTGTAAATTTACTTTGTAACAGAGTCATAGAGTCATACAGCATGGAACTAGACCCTTCGGTCCAACCTGTCCATGCCAGCCAGATATCCTACATTAATCTAATCCCATTTGCCAGCTTTCGCCCATATCTCTCTAAACCCTTCTTTAGTGATTGGAACCAGGGTCAGGACTATGAGATCCTTGATTGGGGTTGTTAACCTGGGCCAGTCAGGGAGCCCTGGCTGACAGGTATAAACAGGAGATTCAGAGAGTCTCTTCATTCTAGGGACTGGCTATGAGCTGGCTGATCAGAGCGTATGTACTGTGCACATGTAAATGACTTGGTGACCGGATACCAGCCTCTATGCAGTTATTTCACCTTCCTATTCATATGTCCATCCAGATGCCTTTTAAATTTGTAATTGTACCAGCCTCCAGCACTTCTTGTGACAGCTTATTCCAGACAAGCACCACCCTCTGCGTAAAAGAAGTTGTCCCTTAGGTACTTTTTATATCTTTCCCCTCTCATCTTAAACCTGTGCTTTCTAGTTTTGGACATTCATACCCTGGGGAAAAGACCTTGGCTATTCACCCTATCCATATTGCCCCTCATGACTTTATAAACCTCCACAACCTCAATAACCCCTCAACCTCTGAAGCTCCAAGGAAAATACTCTTGTAAAGGGCTTTGGGACATTTTATTAGACTAAAGACTCAAGATTAATACAAATCTTTACTGAAATGACTAAATTTTGGTATAGTGTGATATGATTTAATCAAATAAATTTACTGCCCTTTGTTCTTTTGAGGATGAGAAAGAACCAAGAAGCTAATGCATCTGGATGTAAATTGAACAGCTTGTTTTAATTGATTTTTGTTTAAGACTAAATGTACGAGAGTTCAGAAAGCCAGTCTTTTGTTTTCATTTCTGGACCATAGGCTTTTTGACTAGGCCAATTTATTGACCATCTTTAATTGCCCTTGAGAAGGTGCTGGTGAGTTGCCTTAGAGCATTTATTTAAATAGTATGAAATACAAGCAAGCACCTTCTGACCCACCAACTCCTATGGAAGTCAGTGACCAGCTTTAGGAGCACAAGTGAATTCCCAAATAATGCCACCAACTCACCTACAATTAAACACAGTTAATGTACAATTAGGCAATGTGGTAATCTAGAAATAGTTCTAATATTTTCACACAGGTAATGGCTTTGATCCATATCTTTATAGTAATAGATTTAACTGATTTTAATTTATTAATATAAAGTGCATCATTATACAACTCGTGAATTGCTGCATTTAGCATCTTTTGTGTTGAATTAAGTTTATATTTCATTGTCAAGGCTCCAAAAACCAGGGCACTAACAAATTGACATCACTCCAAATGGGGTACCTATTGTTTGAAACCTATTTTCAAAATTTTTCTCAGTGATCTTTGAGTGAGAGCTGATAAGTGAAGATCTTTTCAAATGATCTCAATAAATGTAGTGCTTTTAGCAGTCGTCTATCATTAATCCATGCTCCGTGGACCCAGTGTAATAAGAAAAACAAAATCAGAAATAAAATAAGAACTCAGTCAGTGCATTTGTTACATAAATACAAATGAAGGTAAACAATTGAGTTTTTAGGAGTTTGGTCAACCTTTCTTCTTAGTTTGCAATTGCAATTATTAATTTCAATTATTTTAAGCAATTTTTTCTCCTTTTCCCGACCCGCAAAGTTTGCAGTTTAGGAAAATGTGGATTAATGACAGTTAATCGATAAAATGACAGAAAAGTCTTTTCTGCTCACTTAATTACTGTTATTTTCTACTTCCTCCTTCTGTACAGAATGCCATAGTATCCTTTAAGGAAATATGTGCCTTAGCTCCTACTGCCAATCTGACTCAATGCATACTGACTATGTCATCAAGATTACTGAACAATGTCAACACTTCTGCAGTAACACTCAGCATGCAGGACAACTATCCCTATTTGGAACCAATGGAAACGCTATCAGATGCACAAAAGAAGGTTCTGTCATCGTATGACCTGGTAGGAATGTTTTTACATTTATAACAAAGAAAATTCACATGTCTTGTACAATCAGTAATGTGAACTATTGATTTCTGCCTTAAGATATCAACAAGTTGAAAATGTATTTACAACCAAAATAATTAATAAGCTATCTCTTGAATGGCAGAATTTTTTTGAGATGTATCGCTATCAAGAACAATGGACAATTCAAAATGAAAGAGCTTACTTCAGAAGTTATTGCTCATTCCAGGACCAGATAGAAAACCTTTGTCAATTTCTTCATTGTCTGTTTATAAACAGTGCCATTTTTATAGTTTTGGCAAAGATCTGGAGTTTGGGTTGTGGGTGAGGTTGTTGACTTGCTCGTCGAGCTGGCTTGTTTTCGTTAAGACATTTCATCACTGTGCTAGGTGACATCATCAGTGGACCCTCCGATGAAGCAATGTTATTCTATTCCGCTTGGAATTTATACTGTCTGGTCTGTTATAGTGAGTCATTTCCGGTTTTGATCTATATGGGTTTGTATGTGGGGTCCAATTCTATATGTTTGCTGATTGCATTACGGGTGGAGAACCATGCCTCTAGGAATTCCCGTGCGTGTCTATGTTTGGCTTGGGCTACTATGGTTACTTTGTCCCAGGTAAACTGATGGCCTTCATTGTCTGATTGTACCGATATTAAGGAGAGTTCATTGTGTCATTTTGCTGCTAGTTGATGTTCATGTACTCTGATGGCTAGTTTCCTTCCTGTCTGTCCGCTGTGTTGTTTGTGGCAGTTGTTGCATGGCATTTTCTAAACTACATTGGTTCTGCATGTTGTGGGAATGGGATCTTTAATCCTTGTAAGTGTTTATCGTAGAGTGGCTGTGAGCTTGAGGGCCACCATGATTCCGAGTGGTCTTAGAAGTTTTGTTGTCAGTTCCAATATGTTCTTGATGTAGGCAGTGTAGCCAGTGTGTTAGGGCGTACTGTGTCCGCTTGTTGTCTGTTTAGTAGGCATCTGCTGAGAAAGTTGAATATCTGTTTATAGCGAGGATTTTGTATAAGTGCTCTTCCTCTTTCCTGCGTAGTTTTGGGGTGTTGCAGTGTGACCTGGCCCGTTTAAATAGTGTACTATTGCAGCTTTGTTTGTAGTCTTTGGAGTGGTTGCCGTGGAAGTTGAGCATTTGATCAGTTTGGGTTGCTTTTGTGTATACTGAGATTTGGAACTCCCCATTAGTCATACGCACAACTTTAACATCCAGAAACATAGACATGCACGGGAATTCCTAGAGGCTCAGTTCTCCACCCGTAATGCAATCAACAAACACATAGAATTGGACCTCATATACAAACCCATATAGATCAAAACTGAAATGACACTACTCATCATAACAGACCAGACAGTATAAATTCCCAAGCGGAGTAGAATAACATTGCTTCATCGGAGGGTCCACTGATGATGTCACCTAGCATGGTGATGAAATGTCTTAACGAGAACAAGCCAGCTTGGCGAGCAAGTCAGCAACGTCATGTTTACTCTGCAGTATTTTCATTCAAGCAAATTTTCAGTGCGAGTTGCTGACATAGCAAGAAAAATATTTGATTTTTAAAAAAATTTTGAAACATGATTCTACCAGCTGCTGCTGTTATTGTCTTCGTTAGTTACTAGGGAAATTCCTGTGAACCAGTAGTATGTTCCTTGATTGTCTCGTTTTTGTTCCTTTGATTTAAAATTGATTCTTGGCTAAGGAATATAATTCATTTCTTTGTGCAAACAAAACTATGCTGCTTCACTTTAACCAATAGTATGTGTTAAATCCAGGTCAACTCTATGGTTATAAGAAAAGGGCTATCGAGTCTAGGTAATTAAGAATTTTCAAAGCTGCGATATACAGTTCTTTTGTAATCAGTAGAGGAATTAAGGGTTGTGGGGAAAAGGTAGGAAAGTGGAGGTGAGGATTATCAGATCAGCCATAATCTCATTGAATGGCAGAGTAGAATGGATGAGCTGAATAGCATACGCTCCTACACCTTATGATATTATGGAAAAGAGAAAAATAACTGAAAAGTGGTGTCTCAGCACTTATCTTGCTTTAACATACACTCTGTTTACAGTTATGATGCATCATACCTAGCAGTTGGGGAAGAAGATTTTTGCAGAAAGTAAGATTTCTCAGTTTTATTTGGGTCATTGACGGTGAAACATTTGGGAAAAGGTGGAGTTAGAAAGTGAGATAGATGACAGCAAAGCCAATACAAATGAAAAACCAAAAGAACTACGCATGCTGGAAATCAGAAACAAAAACAGAAATTGCTGGAAAAGGGTCAGCAGGTCTGGGAGCATCTGGGGAGACAAATCAAAGTTAACATTTCAGGTCCAGAGACCCTTCTTTCAAACTCCAATACAAAAGAGTGTGAATAACAGTGGTAGTTTTCTCCAATAGTTTTCTAGGTACTATCTTTTGGTTGTCATTGTAATTGTGTAAAAATATTGTCTGCTGTGCCTTAGTTGGTTGAACACACCTCTCTGAATCAGGACTTTAGCACAGAAATCAAAGCTGACATTCTAGGACATTACCGAATGAGTGCTGCATTGTGGAAGGTGAAATTTTCAAAGAAATGCTAAGCAAAGACCATTAGACCAACCATATGGACGCTCAGTTGGACGTAAAAGATCCTGTGGTATTATTTGTCAAAGAGTAGGGAAATTATTATCATGTCCTGGTCAATATTGTTCCCATAATCAACACCAATAAAACAGATTTATCGGGCAATCATCACATTGCTGTATGTAGGAGGTTTCATGTCTGGAAATTGGATGCTAACTGTTGTGGGAGATGGTCATTGAATGGTATTTATATGGGGTGAATTTACTTGCTACACACCAGCCAAAGCCTGAATGTTCTCCAGGTCTTGCTGCAAATGGACACAGAGTGCTTCCGTTTCTGAGGAGTTGCAAACGATGCTGAACATCATACAATCATCTATGAGCCTTCTCACTTCAGACCTTATAATGGAAGAAAAGTCATTGATGGAACAGCTCAAGATTGGTTGGGCTGAAGAAGCACTGCAAGGGATAGAATGTTTTATCTCCCCTTCCAAATCCATATTGATTTTTCCCCTTCCTGTTCTCCCTAACTCTCCCTCACCTTTGATGGTTTACATTGTCCTAAACTGGCTTTGCACATAAATCATTCAATTGGAAACATGGGTGATTTACAGTGATTGATAGATGAAAGAAAACCATGCGTGATTAGGTAAAAAAATTACTCCAAGGAACTCCTGCAGAGATGTCCTGGAGCTGAGCGTCTGACCTTCAGCAACCACAACCATCTTCCTTTTTGCTTGTGTATGACTCCAACCAGTGGAGATTCCCATCCCCCAATTCCCACTGACTCAGCTTTTGCTCTGGTTCTTTGATGCCACACTTGGTCACATATTGCCTTGATGTCAAGTGCTGTCAGTCTCATCTCACCTCACCTCATGTGTGGAGTTCAGCTCTTTCGACCGGTTATGGACCAAGACTATAATGAAGTCGGGAGCTGAGTAGCCCTGGTGGTACCCAAACTGAGCATTGTTGAGAAAATTATTGCCAAGCTAGTGCCATTTGATAGCACTATCAACAGCTCCGATCACCTTTTGCTGATGATTGTGTGTAGATCGATAGGATGGTAACTGGCAGGGTTTGATTGCCTTGCGTTTTAAGGACAGGTCACATTTTAGTAATTTTCCACATTGCCAATATTTTAGCCATACTAGAACAACTTGGTTAGAGGCATGGCTAGTTCTGAAGCAATGTATTCAGTCCTATTGCTGGAATATTACCAGGGCCCATAGCCTTTGCCGTATCCAGTACCTTCAGCCCTTTCTTGAAATCATGTTGAGTGAATCACATTGACAGAAAATTGGTATCTGTGATTGTATCGCAGAAGAAGGTGAATGCTTATGCTTCCACCTTGTCTTTTGCATTGATGTGCTGATGGAGCTCCACGATTGTTAAAGATGGGGATATTTATGGAGCCTCTTTCTCCTGTTAGTTGTTTAATTATCCACCACCATTCATGACTAGTTATGGCAGGATTGCTGAACGTGTATCTAAACCGTTGGTTGTGGGATTGTTTAGCCCTATGTGTCCCATGCTGCTTCCACTGCCTAGCATGCACATACACCTATGTTTTAGTTTCACCAGGTTGAAATCTTATTTTTAGGTATGTCTGGTAATGATCCTGCATGCTTTCCTGTACTCTCAATGAAGCAAGATTGGTCCCCTGGATTCACAGTAATTGTACAGTGGGGATATACCAGGCCATCGGTTACAGATTGTGGTTGAAAACAATTCTGGAGCAAAGTGCCTCATGGATATAAGCGATCCCCAGGTTATGAATGGGTTCTGTTCCTGAGTATGTCACTAAGTTGATTTCTCACAAGTTGGATGATAAACAGTGTATGTAAAGTATTTGTTCATAAATATAGTCAATAATTCACATGTCAGATCATTATATGTAAGAGTAATACGGGATCTACTTTGTAAGTACAAGCATTCGTTAATTCGAATTTATATAAGTTGGGGATCACCTATACATAGTTTCAAATTGTTAGATATATTTGAAATCTATTTATTGAAATATTTATTATAGCGTAATAGCTGTACCACACAACAAGATGGAGTGTATCATTAACGTGAAGATGAGACTTTATCTCCACAAGCACTGTTGTTCAACATGATTCATCAGCTTTAGGATGTTAGTAGGTGGTAATCAGCAATAGGTTTCCTTTCCAATATTGTGACAAGATAAAAGAGAAGAGAGAGGAAGAATGTATCTGCAAAGATGGACCAAAGGAAGAAGTATCCCTTTGGAAGGGGATAGAGGAGAAAAGTGTCTCTGTGAAAGGGGAGAGAGGAATAAAATATCTCTGTAAAAGGGGGCAAGGTGTGTCTGTGAAAGGGAGCAAGGTGAAGAGTGGCTCTATGAAAGGGAGCAAGGTGAAGAGTGGTCTGTGAAAGGGAGCAAGGTGAAGAGTGTCTCTGTAAAAGGGAGCAAGGTGAAGAGTGTCTCTGTAAAAGAGAGCAAGATGAAGAGTGTCTCTGTGAAAGAGAGCAAGATGAAGAGTGTCTCTGTGAAAGGGGGCAACATGAAGAATATCTCTTGAAAGAGAGCAAGGTGAAGAGTGGCTCTGTGAAAAGGGGGTGGGGTGAAGAGTGGCTCTGTGAAAGGGGAGGTGTCTCCCTCAAAGGGAAGTGAATGAACAAGTCTCTATGAAATGGAAGAGAGCAGAAAAGTGTCTCTATGAGAGGGGAGAAAGGTGAAAATAATCTCTGAAAGAATAGAGAGGGAAGAGGGCCTCTGAGAAGCAGAAGTGACGGAATGAGTGCCTGTATCAACTGGGAGAGAGGGGATGAGTGTCTCGGTGAAAGAGGACAGATGGGAAGAGTGTTACCATCTAATATGGTGTCGTAGTAGTACCTGAGACTTAATGGAATGAGGGAACATGCAAATTATGTTGATATTTTCTAAACAATCTCTGGAATGGATAGGACTGGAACCCTGGCCTGCTGGCTCAGGACATTACCACTACATAACAAGAACCCTAATTAGAAGGATATATTAATAAGGGGTTAATTAGGTCTGAATTGATTCCATGAAATGGAGAATTAGCAATCAGTTAGATGTGAGTTTAACGCAATTTAGTTTTCTGAAATAAAATTCTCCCTATAAGTGTGGACTTGGAGTGTGTTTAAATACTGTTATCTTCTCATGTATAACACTGATAATGATGATGGTTGAGTCAAGATGTAAAGTTTTGGGATATTGTTACCTTACTCCTGTTTTCTGAAATGAGTCTTATGACCAGTGGAAGAATGATGTGGGCGATGTGGACCTGGGTTATATCTTTACCAAAGAGGAATCAAAGTATGGCCTTAGCACTTTCGTTACCATACAGAAGTAGGTTAAGAAGCAAGTTCCTTTTTCGGAATTGGAGCCTGATGATTTGGACACTGATGAAAGTTTGGCCAAATTTCTTGGACAAAATTCATTAAAAAGATGATTTATTGACTGCTTATGCGGCGTAATCAGATTTTGACAAATTTAGAAAGACTGAGGGTGAATCTTACAGGGGTCTGAGTGATATTGGCTATGGTAAGATTTGCGGCAATATTGGCCAAGGCCAGTCTCGATGTCGGGAATACCTCGTAAGTTTGCACAAACGGCTTGGTGATTTTCTTGCTAGTTAGTGGCATGATACCAATTAAGGGGGATTAT